GCTACGGGATCGCAACCCTCGGGGTTGCGCCCGCACCTTGCTCAGCCAGTGAGCGGCCGGTCTGTATGTGGGATCCGAACCCTCGGCGGGAGCGCCGCTGCGCTCCCAAGCGGCGCACTGTAGCATGCGCCACCGGGCCGGCCCCAAAAGAATTACTTTTACTAATGTAAAAAAAATTTTACATCTGCTTGCTCACCACAGCAGCCTTCATCCACTTTTTCCCATCAAATTAGGGGAATGACAATAGACACTTTATGTAAAAGGGATGAAATGTTTATTTATGCCCTCCTATCACCCATGCCATGAAATTCACCCTAAAAGTAGTGTAAGTTTGAGAAAGCAAAAGCTCCCTGGAGGTCAGACCGACAGGGAGTGTATGGGCAATAAGACTCACGCAGCACATGACAGAGAGTTCAAGTGGCTGTGGGCAGTCCAGCTGGGGCACTGCGGTTGAAGGTTGGGACAGGACTGGGCTGCGAGTGGACAGACAAGGACAAATCTTGGATTTCCAGGAAAGCATACATCCGAAGTACAAGGCTATCTTCTCCTTTTCCTTCCTAGAGGAGAGATTTGGAATCACTGCTACTCCGAGCTGCTTGAGTGTGCTGCGCTAAGCAGACACCTTTTCAGAAGCCTAACTCTGTTTAATCCTTCTTGCAGATTCGGCTGAACAGCAGGGGGCTGATCTACTCTGTGGGCTTGCTCCTGGCCTCCGTCTTCGTTACAGTAAGTTGCAGCTCTTTCCCCATTCTTGGGTTCGCATGTCCTTGCCTTCTCTTGGGTTCTTTGCAGGCCAGATGGTCTTGGGCTCCTGGTGAGTGGAAACAATCCACCTCCAGATGTCCCATCTCCTGGCTATTCCTTCTAAAAGTGGATCCTAGCGACCCACTGGAGTGCCTTCTCCCTTTCTGAAATGAGCCAGCCCTCCTCTTGGCCCTGCCTCATGTCAGGCACAAACTATCTCATCAAAAGCAAAGAGGAGACCCCACTTTTCCTGCCAGATTAGCTATTGAACAGGAGATTCGAGTTAATTTATTGTTCCAGGTTACTAATGTCTCCATAAATCCATGGATTTGACTAATACTCAGAGAATGAGAATGTATTTTACTGATTGCACTTTTATGCCACTCCATGATCTTGGCCATTATATCCATTTGTATAATTTAATATTCCCAACTCAACTGATATGTTTGGTGGAAACAAATTCACACCGACGCATGGACTGACACACCTGAAGTATCCATTAACATACAAATATGCTGTTGAGTTCTCACATTAATAAGTATCAAGATACAATATGCTTTTTCCTTAATTTTCCAAGTAAATACTCGTTGAATTACACCTGGTATGTTGTTAATGTACATATACCAGAGAATGGGAATCAAGAAGGGCAGGCAGGAAGCAAGAGAAGTAATTTACAGGATCAGGACGTAAATCAAATGTCAAGATTATACCAAAACATGGGGCCGGCCCGGTGGCGCACTGCTACAGTGCGCCGCTTGGGAAGTGCGGCGGCACTCC